GACCCTTGAATATAATTTGTAACATTCTTTGTTGGATCATTAGAACTTTGAGTATATAGGGAGCTAATATTTGTTGAGCACTTATTATATGCCAAGAACTATGCTAAAGTTATTAGGTAGATTATTTTATGTCATCCTCATCACAATCTTTGGTGGCAGGTACTCTTATTGCCTGAATTTTACAGAAAGAGCAGAGAGAATAGATAACTTGTGTAAAGTCACACGATAAGTAAGTGTCAGAGCTGGAAATCAAATAGCGGTGGGCCTGACTCAGGAGGCCACATTCTTAACAGCTGCAGCAAATTGCTCTGCTTTTGAAATCTACAGCCATGTAGCAATAATAATATAATCATTAATACATTATCTTTGGCACATATATATATAAGATGCTTTCTAAATGTAATTTATTATCAGACACATTCTTAGTGTTATACCCATTTTACAGCAGAAATGGTGTGGTGGCACACACCTGTGATCCCAGCACTTGGGAGGCTGAGGCAGGAGAATTGCTGAGTTTGAGGCCAGCCTGGGCTACATAGGGAGACCTTGTTTTCAAAAACAAAACAAAAAAGCAGGAATGACTGGAGTACAGCGCTAGTGGTCAGCGCGGAGTCAACAACTCAGAAGCTCTTGATGAACTTTTACCTTCACTTGCCTGGTTCACATACAGCTCATGCAGCGCCTCCTTTCATTTCCCTAGATTTTTTAGTGCAGCGCAATGAAGTTAAAATCACTTGTCGCCGACAGTGGCCGCATCTAAGCGAGACCTGTGACACCGGGCGGGCGTTAGTGTGGATTTGAGGACAGCAGGGCTTCACTGGTACGTGGTCAGAGTCGCTGCAGAGCAGAAGAGGAAAAGCCAGTTCGGAGTGTTTTTCGTCTTCCAAGAGGGCAGCGAAGTTGCCCAGATATCTCTGCCCTCCAGGGGTGCAGGTGTGCTGCTTTCTTTAATCATTCACATAAATTAAAGCCTATTCCTTTGCATTTAAAAAAATAATATAAATCGACACTCTCCATGTTTTATTGCCAGGCAAGGGCTTTGAACTTCTGTCTCATTAGGGCTTGATAAACAGGATTTTCCAGGGCTGGGTGGTGCTCTCACTACAGAGGCAACAGCGCTGATAAGAGCTGCAGGTGAAGGCGCCACAAGAGCAGCCTCGGAGCCCCGCTGGCTGCCTGCGCCCAGCCCTCCACCCTGCCCACCCCTCACCCGCCCACAGGCCCAGAGCGCCAGGCTATGCTCCTTCCACTCAGAGAGCTGAGAGTGGGTGGGGTGAATACTTTGTGCCCGGGTGGTGCTTTGTAAGAAACCTTAAAATCTGGGGCAAGTTGGAACCTCACACAAACGCTGACCGTTATGCAGCACACTCGGGCAGACCCTGTCCTTCTCTGCGAGGCCCAGAGCTGGTTTTCATATTAACACACCCTGCCTCTGGGCTCTGTGCAAAATAAAGATCATTCCAACCTCCAGAAGTAAAGTGTTAATGATGAGAGCACTGTTAAGAGCGTGGATTCCTGGTATCAGACAAACCTTGGTTTGAGTCTTGGCCTCTTTATTTTTAGGGTTTTGCTGAGACCGGGTCTCTCAGTGTAGTCCAGGCAGACCTTGAACTCACTGCATAGACCAGGCTGGTCCTGAACTCGTGGTGATTCACCTGCCTCAGCCTCCCAAGAGCTGAGATCACAGGTGTGCACCACCACGCTCCACTCAGCCTCTCTATAGCTGTGTCATCTTGAGTAAACTAATTCTATTAGTGATTTGTCCTATTTGTAAAATAGATATACAAAGATACTTGTCATAGGATTGTTGTGAATATTAATACGCAAAAAATAGCACATTATCTGGCACATTGTTTAATAAGTTACACAGGGGCTCAAAACTGATAATTTGTGATATTAAGCTAAATATCTGGCACATAAATGTCAAGCAGGTATGGTCCCTTATTTTTCTGTGTTTTTTTTCTTTTTAGTGTGAAGTCTATTTTCCAAAAAATCCTTCTCTCTCCTTTTTTTCTAGGAGGATAAAGTACCTTGATTCTTATTGCTCTGAAAACCTTTCCTGTGTAAAGGGCTTTGACTTTTACTCACTGGAGCTAGGGAGGAGAAGCAGCAGCAGGACTTGTGTCTAAGAAGAGCTCTTTCATTTGTACCGTCAAAAAGAAAAAGCTCCTGTACTAGCCCTTAGGTAGACATAAATCATAAAAGATAGCCCAAGGAAGGAATCTTTTTCTAGGATCATTGTAAGTGAGTAGAAGAAAGACAAGGAATACAGAGGTGAAAATATAGCTGATTTTAATGTTGGATCCGGCTATTTTTTCCCTTGGTATGTATTAATTACTGTGATTGCTATTTAAAAAACAATGCCAGAAACTGGCACGCATTGTGTGCTTCAGTTTTGGCTGTGTTTTTCTTTTCATGAGGATGGAACCCAGGGTCTTGCAGATGTGAAGCACACACCCTACCACTGAGCTATACTCCACTCCCAGTTTGGGCCGTTTCTTAAAGAAATAGTTTTCCAGTTGAATGAACTGTGTTGGTCAAAGCACTGTTGTGTTTTCGCATCCTGGGGTAGACAGCGAGCATTTGTGGTGTTGATCACTGTCAGCTTTGGGACGTCCTCACAAATAGAGCCTGTCGTAGAATATAAACATGTCAGTCTTCTGGACCAAAGTCCAAGCTGTCAGACTGAAGACTCACTTGTGCTCAGCTGGGCAGATAAACTAGTTTGTTTTATGGACTTCAGTCAACCAGGAATTCAGGAGTAGTTTTCTAAAGTATCCATTCTTTTTTTTTGTTTTTATTTGGGGGGGCGGGTACTGGGGATCGAACTTGGGTCCTTGCGCTTGCGCAGCAGGCAACAAAACCACTGAGCTAAATTTCCAGCCCAAAAGTATCCATTCTTATAAAATTCAGGTAATAGCTCCATGTTTTCCCAAGGAATCAAATTAAAAAAGGCAAATGTCCATCTCAGCAACAACTTCATGGAACTGCTTTTTGGCAAGTTATTTGTTGATTGTGGGGTTTTGGTCTCACCACTCCAGAAGAAAGTATTTTTTTGAATTTTTGGATGGTGAATGAGAACATGAATTGGAAGCTTTTATGTAAAATGTGCCAGATTGCCATTGTCATACCTAAAGATAGAATTCAGAGAAGAACCCTTTCTGACAGGGCTTTGTTTTCCAGAAACAGAGTCTTGCTATGTTGCCCAGGGTGGCCTTAAACTTGCAATACTGCCTGGGCCTCTTGAGTATCTATGTACTTTTATAGGTGTGCACTGTACCCTGCTGATAGTTTTTTCGGGGTGGGGGCATTAAAACAGGGTGTCACTATGTAACTCAGGCTGACTTTGAACTGTATGTAGCCCAGTCTGGCCTCGAGTTCATGGTGATCCTCCTGCCTCCCCTTCCCCAGTGCTGAGATTACAGCTGTGAGCCACCACACTTGGTTTCTCTGATAGGCTTTTTAAGAAAATGTATCAAGCATGTACTATGCACCAGGTGCTGTGGTGTTTTACCTGCATTATTGGGTTTAATTCTTACACTCCTACGCAGTAGTCAGGGCAGAGTTAGGAAATAGACTTGGAGAGAATTTGCTCAAGGTTACACAGCCAGGAAGTGGTAGGGCTGCGAGTTGAACTGGGGTGTCCCTGAATACCAAAGCCTAAGCTCTTAACCAGTGAGTCATAAACTTCAGGGTACATAAAGAAGCACCAAGGGGACTTGGTAAAAATTCTTGGGCTTTAGTTAGAAATTTAAGATCACCTAAGTCTGCGATGGCCAGGCCACAAATCTGTTTGTGTGTGTGCGCGTGTGCATGTGTGCATGCATGCGCGTGCATAAGTGTGTGGTGTTGCTGAGGCTCAAACCCTGAGCCTCACACATACCCAACTAAGCAAGCACTCTGGCACTGAGCTCCAGCCCTGGCTTCCAAATCTGTATTTTTTTTTTTTGGTACTGGGGATCGAACTCAGGACCTTGCGTTTTCGAGGCAGGCGGTGGAACCACTAATGTTATTGTCTCAATAACTTTTTTATTTTTGGTAATGGAGATCGAACTTGGGTCCTTGTGCTTGCAGGGCAGGCGGAAGAACCACTGAACTAAATCCCTGGCTCCAAATCTGTATTTTAATAGATTCCCAGCAAGGAGTTGATGGACTGTAATTAGAAACATAGAACTAAATTACACTGCTTTCCATGCTTGATAAAGAAGAAAATTGGTATAGACCAATTATCCACGATTAGGCTCTGGAAAACAGCATGTGTCAAACCCAGCTCCAGTAAACTCTATTACAATCGCATGATTAATTCACACTTTTCCCAGTCATCACAAATGGCAAAAACACGCTGTCTAATAAATCAAGCTATCTAGATTCCATGCTTTTGTGAGATTTTTTATGTTTGTTGAGACAGGATCTCATTATGTATCATGGGCTGACCTCAAACTCTCAGTGATCTTCCTGCCTCAGCCTCCCAAGTGCTGGCATCACAGGTGTGCGCCACCATCCCTGGCTTCCATGCTCTTGTTATTATCAAGGTTAATAACTTACAAATACAAAGGTACTGAAATTTTCATGGTCCTTAAACTTTTTAGTGACTTTTTAAATGAAAGGACTGAAACTTCTTCACAGTCAGATCACCCATGCTTCAGGTAAGGAATCAGGAATTCCCTGGAGTGTGAATTTTCTGAATGTGTGGAAGTGGAGAGGATGGAGGGAGGTATAAAACAAGAGCTTCCAGATGTGTCTCCGAAGCTCCTCTGGGCCCTGTGCCCACCACCGAGATGGAGGATGGAGCTGGTGCTGCTGCTGTCAGCAGTTGGGTGGTGGTGGCCACGCATCACCTCTCATTGAGTTCAGTCAGGGCCACCAGGGTCGTCCGCCTGTCCAGTCCACTCCCAGGGACACAGCTGATGCCTTCATCAACTCCCTTCTGCTGAGACTGGGAGATCCTCATGTACTGATGTTAAAACTCTCCCTTTCTTTCTCTCTCGCTTTGTCCACAGCCCAGCGCCATGTGCTCACCTACGTGGAGGATGCCGTGTACCAGCTGCTGGAGAACAGGGAGGACATCAGCCAGTACGGCATCACCAGGTTCTTCACTGAATAGTAAGTGCAGGAATGCTGTGCTGCCGGGTGAGCCCAGAGGAGAGCCTTGGAAGCGGCCGGGGACAGGAAAGATCAAGCGCACACTGATCCCCATGTAGTGGCAATGAATGCTTGGTCTTGGTAGTTGGTCCAGGTCTGCCCAGCGTGGGTGGAATGCACCTTTGGTACAGCTGGTTGTGCCCAGTGAGGTGTCATGAATGGCCATAACTGTGGGAGCTTAACAACTGCTGTCTGATAGACTAGATCTGTCTCCATATCCAGATTATAATTTTTTGTTTTTGTTTTTGTTTTTTGAGACAGGGTCTCACTATAGTTCTGGCTGGCCTTGAACTCACAGTGATCCTCCTGCCTCAACCTCCCAAGTTCTGGGATTACAGGTCTGTGCCACCACGCCCAGCCCAATTACAATTTTTTTTTTTTTTGGTACCGGGGATCGAACTCCAGTCCTTGCACTTGCGCAGCAGGCTGTGAAACCACTAAGCTAAATCCCCGGCCCCCGATTACAATTTTTAACTTTCTCATTTATTCAAAGCACTCACTCTGGTTCCTTTAGTTGGTGATCATTTAGTCTGTTTTTCATGGCTGGCTTTTCTCATGGAGTTTAGGATAATGTTCCTGTGTAGTTTCTTGCTATAGGATGTTGTACCAATTACTGAATGATTGCAGAGTATTTCTAATGAATATCTTGGGTTGCTGTTATATCATAGCAGTGCTGCAATTGAGCCCAGGGCCTTGTGCATGCTAAGCAATGATGCTACCTCTGAGATACACCTCTAGCTCTTTTTTATTTTATTTTTGAGACAGACCCTTGCTAAGTTGCACAGGCTATCCTCAAACTTGCGATCCTCCTGCCTCAACTTCCTCAGTATTAAGATTACAGGTGTGTACTGCCAGGCCAGCTCTTAGGTTATGTGTTGTTTTTTTTTTGGTACCGGGGATTGAACTCAGGTCCTTGCGCTTGTGCAGCAGGTGACAAAACCACTGAGCTAAATCCCCGGCCCCTCTTAGGTTATGTTTTTGAAGAGTCACATAAAGTATGCCTGGGGTATATAAAAGTAAAAAATATTACTACTTTTATCATCTCACAGAACTGTTTTTAAGTTGAATGAGATCATCACTTTAAAGCACTTTCATCTTCATGAAATGATGAAAGCATTATTACTATTATTTTATTCTTTACTTTTTGTGATACTGGGGATTGAACCCAGGGCCTTTGCACTGACCTACATCCCCACCCCTTTTTATTTTTTTATTTTGAGACAGGGTCTGGCCAAGTCACTGAATTGCCCAGGCTGGGCTTGAACTTGCAACTCTTCCACCTCAGCCTCCAAGAGTGCTGAGATGACAGGCATGTGCCATCATGCTTGGCTGAAAGCATTATTTTTATTACCCATATACCATTACATACTTGGATTCTCTTTCCCTTTTTTTCTGGTTTATTGGGAGCATTCTAAGAAGAGTAGCCTGTTACAGGTTTCCTTTTAAGCTGAATCATGAGCTAAAGTCCATCTGCCTCGAACATAGATCTTTCCCCCTATTCTCCAGAGGCCCCTTGGAGATCAGACAACTACTCTGATGGCCCAAGCCTGGATTGGTGTTCGAGGAATACTTGACTCTTCTCCCTAGTGCTTTTGTTGAGCTAGAGTCCTCGTAATTAAAATCTAGTTTCTTGTGCATTGGGATTTTAAGTTCTCGGGGAAAACAAGCTTCCTGGGAGGACAGCTAGTTCCTTCCCTCTGTCTTAGAAAGGAGGAAGAAAGGAGTTGTACTGGTTCACGTGGTGTGGGCTGAAGCAAACGAAGCGCAGAGATTGAGGCCTGAGACTGGATAGCTTCCTGTGCTTTCACAGAACCGACAGGCCTGGGGTCAAGTTTCTGGGCCACTTAATCTGCACCAGCACTACAGGGGCTGCCGGCCAAGTGAAACAGGGCTCTTCTGGGGAGAGCGCTTCTTCCCAGCTTGTTTTCATTTTAAACCCCCATTATACATCTCCTCCCTGTTACACTGGTTCCTTGGTCGTAGACCTCATTTCTCCTTCACCTTTTTTTCACAGTACTTGGCAGGATGCTTAGCTGTAATAGATTTTAGGTAGATACTTCTTGAATCTGTAGCTGTATCTGTATTTTAATCTATCCATACCGTCTAGTCTTATTCTTAATGTTGTTATAAGGCCTGTTTTCTTCTTTTTCTCCTCTGCTATTGATTTTTGGTTAAAGCTCAAATATGCTGCCCTCTAAGAAGCTGTAGCCCATGTGCCTAGCACTCCAAAAGCAAACCCACAGTCTGTGTAACTGATACTGAGCTCCGGAGAACCCTGGGAAGGCTTATACCTGCTCTGAGTGCCATGGCCTATAGTAGCTTCTTATCTACAATACACTATTGGAAAAAAAATCTTAAGATTTTTCACAGCACTGATAGAAATCTAGTTGCCAAGTGAGTGGTTTCTTGTTCCCAGGAAACTAAAAATCATATAACGTATGTAAGTGGCACGACGCGTCTATAACTCTGAGACATCAGATTGGCCCAAGGTAAGGGATTTTGAGAATGGAAACTTGAACCAGCATCAAAGCCCCAAAAACATATTTTTAAAAAAGATTTGAAAGGGCCGGGGATTTAGCTCAGTGGTTCCGCTGCCTGCCTCGCAAGCACAAGGACCAGAGTTCAATCCCTGGTACCAAAAAAAAGATTTGAAAGTTATAGCTGTATGACAGAATGAGAAAGTAGTAGAAATGGTATTTGGGGGCCAGAGATTTAGCTCAGTGGTTCTGCCACCCGCCTTGCAAGTGCAAGGTCCCGAATTTGATCCCTGGTACCAAAAAAAACAAACAAATGCTCTTTGGTAGACAAGAAGGCTTGAACAATAGAAGCTTCTGAATTTACTTTGATTGTGACTTTGACTTATCTAGTGAAAATCCTCCTCTTTTTGGCCTCCCAGAAATTCATGGGAAACTCATAGGAGAAGCATGATGCAATGAAAAGAGGAGGAAGATGAGCTCTTTATTCTTAGAAGTCCTCACTCTTTAACCTTGGAGTCAGTTTCTGAAATTTGGGCCTCGGTTGCCTCATCTATGAAATGGGTTGAACAGACTTACATCCTAATATTAGAATAATTGAAAATATAGGGACAGTTTTTATTAAACTTGTATTATGTCCCTTTCACTGCAGTTCTTTGAGATGTAAGTACTATAATTATCTTTGTTACTGATGAGGAAGCAGTCTCTTCAACTTAAAGATTCAAGGAGTTTTTTCAAGTTCAGAAGCTAGGAAATGTTGGAGTCAGTAATGAACCCTTGTCCACAGTATTATACAGTTGCCTGCTCTCTCTCAAGTCACTTTACTGCCTGATAACGGAGACCTGTCCTGGAACTATCTGGAGGTCTCATCTTGCTGTAACTTCTACATTTCTGATTCTCTCTCCCTATGAACTGGAGACTCATCACATAACCCTGTCTGGTGACCTTGGCCCATTGCCATTTAAATGTTTAGCATTAGCCTTTTGTGGGGCACCATTGGAGCTGTCTCTGGATAGCAGGAAGCATGATTTTTAAAAATATGTTAACCGTAAGCTTGTTACAGTTTCGAGTTCACACCTCTTCATGCATTCAGTGATGGGCGATTTACCGGACACAATGAGAAAAGCACTCTTAGGAATTGTTCTGGAAGACTTTCCTGCTGATTTTCTTCTAGAGGCTGGTGCCCTCTCACCTGCGCTGTTGCCCCTTGGTGGTTGTGTTTTCAAACAAGGTCGAGATTGTTCCAGCAAATTCGGGTGAAGTGTGAGATGTGGCCAGGGAATGCCGGGCTCTGTGGATCGGCTTCCCCGGCCGCCCTGGACAGGAGGGTACCAAACCCCGGACTCTCCTCCCCACCCTGTTGTGCACAACCCCACCTCTGAGCCCTGGCCTTCCACCAGGAGAGGCCGAAGTTCAGGTTAAAGTCGCTGCCCCGAGAACAGAGAACAGACCGAGTCAGCTCTGGGTCAGGCCCGCTGAAGAAATGTGGGGAAGAAAACCAAGCCTTAGGAGCTGTTGCGACTTAGAGACCACAGCAGAGTGTGACCAGGTCCTTGTGGTGAGGACAAAATGAGAACTGTGGCTTTTTAAGACATTGGAAAATAATGATGAGAGAAAAACAAGCTGAAATCTGAGAATTCCTATCAGAGTTATGAGCCATTCTTCACAGGCTAAATTGATAGTTACAACCCTGTGGCACCAGGAGCTTGACCTCCACGAACTAATATAGAAAAGAATGCCACTCTGCGGTCTTGCTCAGTGCGCCCCAGGGAGCACATACTTTCTTATGTTCAAGGGAGTGTTTTTGATATATTTTTCAGTGCCGAGAATTGAACCCAGGCCCTCACACATGTTAAGCAAGTCCTGTACCACTGAGCTACAACCCTAGCCCATGGCCTAGTGTTTTAAAAAACAAGCAAACTAAGCTGGGTGTGGTGGCACAGGTTTGTAATCCCAGCCCTCTGGGAGGCTGAGGCAGGAAGATCCCAAGTTCAAGCCAAGTCTGGACAGTTCACACACACACACACACACACACACATACACACAGAGGCAAACGGATGCTGATGAGAGTAACGATAGGTAATGAACACTATGTGCCCAGCACTGTTGCAACCATATACTATTATCTCACTCTTCACAACCCTATGAGATAGGATATTAATATTATCCTCATTTTACACATCTGGAAATTCAGGCACAGAAAAGTAACACTCTCAAGGTTACACAGCTAGTGACTATAACAAGTTAAGTAACAAGAAAACAACCGGGACAATGTGACTTACAGGCTGGCCAGAGGCCTCTTGGAGATATTCGAGGGCTCGTTCCATCAGAGAATCATGACTTAGCTCGCAGGGTTACTCATCTCTTTGTCTGCTATGATTTCCTCACTGCCCTTATCCGAAAAAGTTAATGTGATTTTATTGCTGCTTGCTAGAACGGAGAACCCTCCATTGTCAGTGTTCGTATAGAGCTAGCTGGCCTTCCTTG